ACTTTCAAGGAAAGAGCTTACTCTTTTCTAAAAGACTGAAGCGGTCTGTCTTCTTAATTCGACATCGAAGGTCCTACTAAAGCGGACCTATGAAGCACGGGTCTTGCGCCCCCGATCAGGGATCGACCGATTATTGACCTGCTATTCACAGACCAATACCACACCACGCTGGGTTCGGGGCAAAGAGGTGGGCGTGACCCTAGACAGAAACGTTCGATTTCGCACACAACCCAGTTTCTTAAAAGAAAGGGTTGACGACTAAGATGACGGGCCCTCTATTGAAATTGCCCCGTTCTTTGATGCCAGTTATATGTGCCTATGTGGGCTATATACATCTTTACCATACTATTAGAGTGAACCGCAGTTTTTTATTACTTTGAGTTGTTACCAAGAAGATTGTTTCCAATCTCATTTTTATTTTTCGACTTCCCAATGTATTACTAAATTTAAAACAGACTCATCGAGGCGTGTTAACAACATTCTTACAGATTATGTATCCTGGATTTATCAATATGATCCAAAGACGAAACCCCAGTTGGCTGTTTCGAACTGAAGCGCTTCAAAGGAACCTACAGAAATAAAGCAAAAGGCCGGCAAGGCACCTGCAATTTCCCTGGTGTTGCGGTTGTTTATGGGCGGCGGTAGTTCTTAAAGTGCCGTGCTGCCCCCTTATCTGGCAATTCTTTACGAAATCATTCCCCAGGGGCAACAAGGGATCAAACACAGGCCTCCGTGGACCACTGCTACCAAAACAATGTACCTACCACAACGCTCAAAACAAAGGACTGCGTGGACAACACACCTGTTAGCTATTGGTTCACTCCTCTTACAGCCCCGATTTCGTACTGTGTGACCCTTTTGTTGCTCTCTCTTCCTCTTTGTAAATAAAAAATCGGATTATTGGAATACAGTTTATAGTGCCGTAAGATGCGCTTGCAGCGTTCGAGAAGAACGTGTTAAGAAGCATAAGAGTTGTGTAAAAATTCCTGTGTGTTATTTCAAGACAAGTTTTCATCAAAATCCATGCAGGCGTTTTATCATGAAGAGGTAATTATAGAATTGTGCTCCAAATCAATCCACAGGGAAAAAATCATGGATAAATAGCTTATGTCATTCTCTGGCCCATACTCTATCTCTGTGCAAAAATTATGTCGATCTGTGGCTCCATTGATACGTAAATTAAAGACAAGCCCACAGACGTTACTAAGTGTTAGAGCTACGCAGCAGGTATTTTAATTCCAGCACGAATGGGTCGGCTCCACCGGGGTAGGACGACGCACTCACAGAATACCAGCAGCATTAAGCTGCTACTTTACAGCAGCTTAATGCTGCTATGTTTCGTATGGTAAGTAGTAGAGAACCGGAGACCCTTTTTACAGGAAACGAGGCATTCTATCTTAGTACTCAGGGGTGGAATCTCATCCGCATATTGTTCCGTTTTGAGCATTTTGAAACGAAGACAAATTTTGATGTCTATGGCCCACAACATTCGTTTACCATCTTGTGGACTGTGTGCTCGGTTTTTACTCTTATTCTATAAAAAAAGACATTTTCGAATTTTATAATATAAGTTAGGATACCTAAAAGATCTTTTTTTAAAACTACACATTATGGTATTAAATATTATTGTCTTCGAAATATCCACTATAATATATTTCCAAATTAATTTTACAAACCTGAGACTCGTGTGCAAATTTCGAACTATAATTTAAGAAATTATATTTGACTAATTAAAGTAGAATATAAAAGACCTTTTTTTATCAAGCAGACAATATATTATTGAAATAATATGTTATTATAATCTACGGAATATCCATAGCAGTATATTCATAAATGGTTTGTCACGTTCCTGGAAAATACACAAGAAAAAGGATCGAAAAGGTTAACAGTTTGCATCACGCCTTATAACCAAATATTAGGGTTAGGGATAAGGAAGGTTTACGAAAATACGTTTTCTTAAATTTTATCCGCGCAGTTGTTACAGATCACAAGTAATCGCGATAAGCTTCTGTTGACAACTTAAATTGATGGATTATTTTTGTGAGCTTATCATCTTTTGAATGAACATAATACAAACACACGCGAACAGTGGCGCATTAATTTTGAAAAATTGAATTATAATTTGAAATATAATTAGTTATATAATATGTAAATGATATATAATGCTAAAAATATGATAATAAAACAATCCCAGCTAGGTATTCATGATAATTTTATTTTTAAGTTCTTTTGCGAAGAGGACATCTGCACAGAGTAACCGACATAACTGTCATAGATTACCTTATAGGGAGAACATTTTCCATAGTTGGCACGTTTAACAGGCGAGTTGTCAACAACAGCTTTTTTTTAACTATTCCAAGTTGTTATCAGGAAGATGCTGCCACTGATATTTTGATATTTTGGAGTGGTTAGGGAATAATTTTGCACGAATTGCTTTAATTATCATTATAAAAGTACTATCATTTATGTGGTAGAATACAATTAAGGTAGAATAAAATTCTATTGCGCTATCGTACACAAACATAACAATTTATATTACATTAAAAAGTTTATCTCTCAGAAAAATCAACCTACTCTCCATTCGTCCTACCAACTGTTTCATTTCCTATTGACATCTCTTACAACACCTACGGGATAACATATGACAGTGGTTTCTTTTAAGCCGCTACCACAGGACGAATTCGCTTTAATTTAATGTTTAATACATTATCACTGTTTACACATGGACATGTGGTAACGGGTAAGATACGAGTATATTACCGTAACCAACGCGAGGGAGCTACGACAAAGAACGCTATTTATATTGGATAGAACCATGTCCAGAAGTGGTCTTATACTAGCTGATAAAGAAAAAGATTTTTAACGAATAAATTATTACAAGGCTAGTACAAAAAAGCTTTAAGGTACAAGATTTAAAACTAAAACCACCGTGTTTAAAACTAATTTATCCGAGGGGTCTGCGCACCCCTACTCGGATGACGGTAAGTTATCTTACTTAACGGATAACTAACGTTTGGATATAATCCAGAAAATCGTTATGCTCATCGTCTTCAGAAAGGGGGGACCTTTATATAGCTCGGAAAAGGCTGGACTTAGGACTGAAGCTGCAAAAATCAGCAACTAACAGCATCACAAAATATAGTACAATATTTATAGTACAATAGATCCGTGTGATGTGTGCAAAAATGGGGTCTTTTAAATTTTTTAAGTAACTAGCGATCCGCCGGTGATTTCTGGATCTCGACTACAGCGCCACCTACCGGGTCCAAATGTGAATACAAACCATCTAGACCCATTTAAACATACACACACAAAAATTTCATCGAAATCGGTCGAGTCGTTTTTATGTTTTAACGAGACTAAGGGACAGCCATTGATTTTATTATAATATAGAGATTTAATTTCTATAAATCCTGTGAGCTGTAGCTTCTTTAAGCTATATGAGGCTAATTCTTTTTCACTCAAGGCAAAATATTTTATAACGCAGCGTCGAATCCCAAGCATAACCATCCACGCATGTGACATTCACTGGTATTACGTTTTTAAGGTTCTAATTTTAAGGTTTATTGTTTTAATAAATAAAAATCTTTAAAATAATACTAGTATTTACGGAATTTATAGCGTATATTTAACTTTTTAATATCCGACGTTTCGAACGCTTTACAGCACTCATGGTCACGGGCGGGACTGAGATGTTCAACGTCCATATGTCATAGTTAACTGCGGTTACCATAGATTAAAATTTAACTTTTGTTCCGATCTATGCAGTATGAACTTAAAAAGTTAAATTTTAATCTATGGTAACCGCAGTTAACTATGACATATGGACGTTGAACATCTCAGTCCCGCCCGTGACCATGAGTGCTGTAAAACGTTCGAAACGTCGGGTATTAAAAAGTTAAATATACGCGATAAATTCCGTAAAAACTAGTATTATTTCAATGTGTAGTGTTCGCGTAAATATAAGAAATCATTATAAAAATCTTTAGTAAAAGTTTATTAAATAAAAATTATTCCCACCGGATTTATCTGGACGCACAGATTGTCCTCACCAGATCATTGTGTTCAACAACCACTAGTAAAATGTAACATTTTTCTTGTTACCTCTCACCTATAAATTAAAACCTGTAATTTAAACAAGTAATTGTGACAATTATCAGGAGCTTTGCGCTCACTAATCCGCATGTCCGGGGAGTTAAATGATGTAACCATGGCCCTTTTCCGACGTAGGGAGAATTCACGTTAATCGTCAAGCTTAGCAAGCGGATGGATGATATTGGTACTGCGACCAGACGTTTTGCACTTTTGACCTTGCTTCCCTAAACCAGTCCTTGTATTTTACGCCTGGCGTAAGCGCGATAATCTACCGGAAACCTAAATATTTTACGCCTTTTTTTATAGGATTGGGTGACAAACGAACACACAGCCACCTGATGGTAAGTGGTTTCTGTGGACCGTAGACATCTACATCCATCCTCGATTACGAATCAAAATGCAGATGCGTTGTCACCTGTGAGGGCTCACATGGAATGCCTCATTTACAGTAAAAAGGCTATCCGGTTCTCTACACTCACCATACGAAACACAGCAGCATTAAGCTACTATTTGACGCTGGTATTCTGTGAGAGCGTGGTCCTTCCCCGGTCGAGCCGACCCATTCGTGCTACAACTATACTACTAATATAACTTATCTAATCTAATTACTACACATTTTTTTATTATTGCGAACTCAGCAACGCTGGTCACTTACTTAAGTAGGTATAACATTTTTTCAATGATAAATAAAGCTTGTTACAGAGTATAACTTGACATTGACAATATCTTGTTATTCTTAACCTCCTCACTGAACTTGTACTACCTATAGAACATAAAAATATAAAAAATCTTGCGAGGTAAATATTCACGTCACGTCAAATAAAAACCCCTAGCGACATCTATTGAAGATTGTTGTAGGTATGTAAAAATATTTGACAGCTCAACTGAAGGTCAATTCTGCCAAAATGGCTTCGAGATCCAGACGTATCGAGCCGCGCTCGGGCATTGGTAAGTTCAATCTTTCTGAATCTTATAAAAATGTTGCTATTTCTATCAAAAGTTATTCAAATTACGTTTTCGAATAACAGATTTAGTTTGATTTGTCAATATTTACGCGAATTCTGCCATAATTTTATTTTCATTGGGTATAAAAATTATATGTCCTGTATTTAGGAATCATGTAGACACTGCAATATTGTTATGTCCTGTGTATATGTACCTGTAAGGGAATTATGTAAATAATATTTTATTTGATATTTGTTTTAGCCTGTTCTGACGATACCGTGCTAGCATTACTAGAAGAATCTGATGTCGATTTTAGCAGCGACGATGATACCCAAGATCCCACATATAATGAACCCACGGAAATCGCTACACAAGAGCGTCGAAGGTATGATTCTAGTGATTCTTCTGTAAATTCAGACTCCCATGATGTTGTTGAGCCACCATCGCCGGCTTTATCGAGTGGATCTATAATACGCCAGGCAACTGGCTCTGGTTTACGCCGAGCAAGATCTTCTCGTCGCCCTCGAAGGTCAGCTCAGCCAACCTACAGACAAATACCGTCTCAATCTCAACCTGATGTTGTGGATTTATGGACTGGAAATTTTGAACCTCTCGAAATAAATCTGTATGAACCAACATACGTGCCAAATTTCGACCATGGATGGTCATACGAACAGTTCTTTGAACGTTATATAGATGAACAAATACTCTTACAAATTGTGGATTGTACAAACAGAACAGCAGTTCATGTAAAAGGCAGGTCACTTGGTCTTACAGTTAAAGAATTAAAAGTTTATATTGGAGTGACAATGATTATGGCTTCATTACAATATCCTTAAATAGACATGTATTGGTCGTCTAAATGAAAACAGCCTATCATAACATCAGCTATGACACGTCTGCGTTTTTACGCAATTAGAACGTCGTTAAAAGTGGTTTATGATCTTGATGTTACCGTCGAAGGGCGTCAAAAAGACAAGATTTGGAAAGTGCGTCCCCTTTTCGAGAAAGTACGACAAGGATGTTTACTTCAATCTCGCACAGTAAAAATGTCTATTGATGAAATGATCATTCCGTTTACTGGTCAATGTTGTATTCGTCAATATAACCCTAACAAACCTAATCCCTTTGGGTTAAAAGTATTTGTTTTAGTAACGCCTCAGGGAATGGTTATAGATTTCGAGATATATCAAGGAGACACAACTTTTCCAGAAATTAGACAGATGGGTTTTGGTCTCGGAGAAGCAGCTGTTCTTCGGCTGACCGAAGCACTTGTCCCTGGTCACCACATCTTTTTTGATCGCTATTTTACCACTATTAAATTGTGTGATGAATTATTGAATAAAGGTTTTCACGCGACTGGAACAATTATGAGAAACCGATTGCCCAAAAACTGTATGATGGAAGAAGATAAGATTTTTATGAAAAAACAACGGGGTTATTGCGAAATAAAAACACGAGTAGATGGCAAGATGGCAGTGATACGTTGGATGGACAATAAGCCCGTGGTGATGTTGTCAACGCGTTTATCTAATAGACATGCAGATGAGTGTGAAAGATGGTCGAAGAAAAACAAAGTGTATGAACGTGTAAGTCGCCCCAAAGTTACACGTTCGTCAAAGAATATAACGAAAATATGGGGGGTGTAGATTTAGTTGATAGAATGCTAACTGTATGCCCTTCATGTAACAGAACAAAAAAGTGGACAATACGAGTAATTTCTCATATGATAGACTTGGCTGTTGCTAACTCATACCTTCAGTTCAAACAGAGAGAGTAGAAAAAAGGCGTTAAAAACGTTATAGTCATACGTGAATTTAAGATGGAACTTGGTGAGAAGTTAATTGCTGATAACTTAGATTCTAGAGACACAGATGACCCTGCTGATGAGTTTGAAGAACTTTTACCAAAGCACAAGAAACGTAAGACTACTATAGTTCCGTTACCAACTAAAGCTATTCGTCAAAGAAAAGCTAATCACATGCCACAACACAGTTCAAAGCAAAATAGATGCAGAAATGAGGGTTGTTATAAAAAAACTACAGTTACCTGCAAAAAATGTGCTGTGTATTTATGTTTCACGACTCAGGGAAACTGTTTTGAAGCTTTTCATAATCCATAATTATTTTCAGAGGCTTTATTTTCTTATTTTTCAATTATAGCTACGCAAATTGCGTCAATTTTTATCGTTTGTATGCTAGATATGATTCTATAACCGTTGATGACTGGCTTATTGAGACTGATTTTATGTACAATTTAAATCAATAAGTAATGTTATAAAAATATTATATGTTCAAAATAAATAACGAAGAAGTTAAGTTTAAGTTTAATAATATGCCTTTTCAATAAAAAATTGAGTACTTTATGGGCTTATCTTATTTCATCACACAATAATATACTCACATTGGCTGTGATTGTCTTGTATGCAGAACATAAAATAGTCCTAAAAATATAAGTAGCCTGCATCTGTCCTAGTGGGAGGACATAAGGAAAAACTCTTTGTTACGGGAATAGATTTTTTTTCAGTAATTTTTCAGTTAAAAAGTAACCCTTAAACAGCTTAAATCCCAAATATGAATTGAATCTGACATAAAAAGTGGTCCCTGTAGTGAGGAGGTTAATCTAGAAGTAAAATCTAAACACAGTATCGACTAACATACATTGTAGGGTTACGAGTATGGTAGGATATATGACACCACTGCTCATTAATTTTGTTTTTAAATGGTCGTGTCATATATTCCATTATCTACTCAATGAGTACTTGTTTAAATTTTTCAGTGACAATCTTCTTATAATTAGCTCGTCCAATGGCATTAATATCGATATCATTAAAATTCTCATTGTACGAGTGCATCATACGTGATAAAGGGGACCTTCGCCCCGCGTTAGTTCGGCATAAATTAATAGAAAAAAGTTTATGAGAATGGGCCACGCGCTGATGTGCTCTGGTAGGTACCCTATAATTTATAGTCTCAGTTATATCCATACAGTCGTATCTATTGTGACACAGATCTTAAAACAACATTGCCTCGAGAATTGTGCGCCTTGATTTAAGAGTGGTAAGATTATATTTTGCCATGAGTTCATTGTACGGTATTTTTTTTCTTGCATATTTATAATGGATATATCTAAGAAATTTCTTGTGCACAATTTCATTCACATTTCACAATTTATTTTTTATATAGAGGATTCCAAATAGTCACTGCATACTCTAAATGACATCTTATTAAGGATTTATAAAGATGTAAGTAAGTCAAGGGATTTTTAAACATATTACCAGATCGGATGACGAAACCATACATCTTATAGGCTTTGTTAATAATACTTTCAATATGTATACTTAGATGTAGTTTAGTGTCTAAAGTTACTTCAAGATCCCTGATTGCTACTTCTTGAGATAAGGAGTACAACATAAATAATAAATGCAAGAGCTGTTTTTTTTTTCTTTTTTGTAAAAGTTATAGATTTACTTTTTTTATTTATTTATTTTTGTTAAGGCTGAGTTCTAACTTATTTCTATTACAGTACGATGTGACACTTTACAGCGCCCATCACTACGGGAGGGACTGAGGTATTTGATGTCCCTATGTCATAGTCAACGAAGGCTTCCTTCAATTTTTAAATATAAATTTTTGGTCCGATCTACGCAGAACAAGTTTAAAATGTCTTGAAATCTTGCAGTAGTATGCTTGGGTATGGATTTAATTTTATTAATTATGGAATCCCAAGCAGATGCCATGTCCAGCCATCTTACTATTGAAAGTAGGATTTTTTTTAATTTCAATAGCCTCGCGAATCATTCTTGGTAGCAATCGGTGTCCTTTTGCGAGGATTTGTGGTTTATCAAATTTACAATCAAGCTTGTAAGTACACTCCTGCATCTTCTGTAGAGAAATATTACATGTCGGATTACTTGACGGATGGTAAGAACTGACTAATCTTCTTCGGCGGCCTGTAGTGTGTTCTTATGGAAGCCCGCTTTAAGATGTAGCCAATCTTGTCAGTTCTCTGACATATTGTAGTATAGCAGGGACACGCTCGAATGTTGTTGATTTCACTCGGTCACTGTAACGGAGGCGCGGTACCCAAAGCTTGTTGTCGTATAAAACTTGCTTGACGTGCTGGAGCTCGATGACCAGGTGTTTACTGTCACAAATTGCCTGTGTAAAGGATGGTAGTGAGATTCACCGTTTAAATATCGATGAGTATGAGTCTTTTTCATAGAATACTATTATACATACATAATAGAACGGGGGAGTGGGCGGGGCTCGTGTAGCCACTAACATGTCAATTCACACGTATAAATGTCAACACGAGACGTGTTTTGACGTAACAATCGTTTCCAAATTTCGCATGCAAATTATTTATAAAATACCAAATTGCACACTATTTACTTATAAATATGTATTAAAATTTAAATGATTTTTTTAATAATGATTTTGAACATTAATCAAAAGTCTAATATTATGTGTAAATTTACTGTCTGTCAAAACAGCGAATCGGGTTTGTAGTAGTGATAATACGACGTAATTGCTTGTATATGTGCACCCGGCGACGCCTAATCTCGTACAAAATAAGTTTGACAGCCATTCTATTGTGTATTATAATAGTATTCTATGGTCTTTTTTCTATACACAGTATGACTGATGGTGTTAGTAAGATTTTGAATGACTAAAAAGTCTAGGAAAGCTAAAGAATTATTTGCATCTAACTTCATAGTAGTGAATCGAATTACAGTTTATGGAGTTAAGGTAGTCTAAGTATGCAGTCACTTTGCCTTATGGTAAAATTTTGAGTACCGTCTACTTACCACTTGTAGGTGCAGTGCGGAGGGCTTTCTCCTCGAAGTCCTCCATGTATGGGCGATAGTGGGAGATACAGGTGAGATTATCGACACACCTATCACCTGTGTCTCCCATTGTCCAGAGAATTAAGAAAGTTAATATTAAACGCAATAGAATCTGTAAAATTAGTTTTATTCCATGTGTAATATTCGCGTAAAAATCATTAAGATCTATCGGAAACCTCAGCATTTTGCGCACGGTGTAAACGAGATGATCTATCTGAAACCTGAGTATTTTACGCCTGGCGTAAAAGAGGTGACCTATTAGAAGCCTGAGTATTTTACACCTGCCGTAAACAAGATGGCTATACTGCCACCCATCGGAAACCATAAGATCTTGCTGGCATATCTCATAGTCGTTTCTTACGACAACGACAAAACTAAATAGAATGATGGATTCTTTAAACACCACACGGCAAAGACTTAAGGAAAAAAGTAAATGCACCATCGCACATCGCGACAAATCTTACGATACCATCCATACCATCTGGATGACTGGCGGTCCACCACTTTATGATTTAAAAGAAGTTTCCCTCCTCGCACAACTTCCTTGTGGAATTGCCTACCACCACAAATTTAGACCTTTAAGTAAAGAGGCCACTCCTTTTTAAAAGGCCGGCAACGCATCTACAATTCCCCTGGTGTTGCAGTTGCATAATAATACCATCAGGTGAGCCGTATCCTCGTTTGCCCGACTCCTATAAAAAATACAATTCAAAATGAGCATACTTAGCGCTTACAACGATCTGCCATAATATCTACGTAATAGTCATGAAATAAATCACTGAATAATCTCGAAACAGAACAGAATCAACAAAATATCGCTGAGTAATACCGACAATGAGTAATTTATTTCATTTGAAATATAAATATACTTGTGTTTATTAGACAAACATCAATAAATTAGAGAAATTCGTCCATTTTTATATATTCAATGGACGAGTGTTACAAATTGATATTCTCATATTTTAGTGAAACATTCAACGATGATTCGTTAGTAAAATTGTAGTTAACGTCAAACCGGGTAACTGCCAGAATAAAAGCCGTAATAATCTTATGGTAAAAATAAGGATAATTTGAACAAAAATGGTACAACTTGCAAATAAGAAATACATTATGGGTAATTTAATAAGGATTGAAGAAAATAATTCGTAATACAAACAAAACTTGAATACATTTGGTATTGCAAAAGAAGTTTTTGATAATCTACTCATTTATTTGACATTAATTCAAATTTACAGCCTATATACATATTATGCCCTACTCCTGGGCACAGGCCTCTCGCTCATTTTTGAGAGGGTTTTAAGACAAGGAATTTTCCGCCTCGCTGCCCCAATGCGTGTTGGCGAACTTCGCATACTTCGAAATATTTTTTTCTTATTTCTCATACATGCATCAGAAAGCCGACTTTTGTGTTTTTTTAAATAAGGTTACCTAACACTAGGATTTTCTCCTTTATCGTGTGGGCAATTTACATACATAAATTTCACACAAGATAGATGCAAAAACTTACCGATGAGCAGAGGGACCGTTGGGTGGATTGATGCCAATTCACGATTGAAAAGTTCGACAGCAGCGAGAAACAAAAACGTTCACGTTATACTAACTAGCGACGAAACATGTTACCTATAAGTATGATACTGAAACAAAGCAATAGACGACTATACAGGAAGATGAACAGCTAATGTTGCCGTGCGTGAAACGCGGAAATAATAGGTCGACTCAGTTTTCTGTACACACATAAAGTATTACCACAATGCAAAGTATTATAAACTTAACATCAGGTGAGCCGTATGCTCGTATTCCCCTCTTCTAAAAAAAAAATGTTCTGTTTTTTTTGGGGGGGGGCAGGGGTGGGGGTTTTTTTTTTTTTTAAGTAGCAGCATAATATTGCTGTATTTCATTAGATGAGTGTAGGGAACTAGAGACCCTTTTTACTGGCAACGAGACGTTCTATCTTAGTCCTCAGGGATGATACCGCATCTGCATTTTGATTATTAAACGACGATAGATGTAGATGTCTATGGGGCCCAGCATCCGTCTAACCATTAAGTGAATGGTGTGTTCGTTTGTCACCATTATTCTATAAAAACAATTATGTTACCTTATCTGCCGTATTCTCCTGACGTATCATCTTGTGTATTTTATCTGTCTCCAAACGTTTAAAAAATAAGAGGCAAGAGGTTTTAAAACATTTAAAAAATAAAAGGCGAAGATGACACACTCATTGCCGCTTAAAGTTCGAGTTTTCTGAGGTGTCTAAAAAGAGTGGCCAGAGGTATTTTTCAAGTGGTTTGGACGTAGACGTTTTTCACGTGGTAGAGCCATGCTGCAGCTATGTGGTTGCAGCACGAATGGGTCGGCTCGACCAGGGAAGGACCACACTCTCACAGAATACCTGCGTAAAATAGCAGCTTAATGCTGC